ATATATATATATCTCTCTCTCTCTATATATCTCTATATCTATATATATATATATATATATATATATATATATATATATATATATATATATATATATATATATATATATATATATATATATATATATATATATATATATATATACTTACTTTGCCCGCGAAATGCCTATAAAAATCTTTTTTTTTAATTTGCCTAATTGTCAAAAATCTAGCTTCATTTGTAGACAGAAATATGCTACTGTTGAAGTGATTTGAACATCCTATTAGAAAGAACTTTTCAAAGTAAAAACAATAACATAACTGCATGTCACATTTGTTGTTTCACGCTTAAATTTAACAAACAAACATCATTTTCTGCTTATATGGAAATGTTGCAGCTTTCCAAACTGACATAAAGTATAATGTATAATATCTGTTCACACTGACATTCGATTACCGCCATACTATCTCTTTAGTACACATAAGTGTTATTGTTGAGATGCATGATTTGCTGAAGCACCATTAACTGTTTTACCATCTGGCCAACCGCTGTAATTATATACACACATCGAACATCCGTGACCCGTGAAATGCTTGTCAAATGCTTGACTGATGCACATGAATGCTAAAACAGCACAGTAGTTTAATATAGGAGGTGTTACTACCTTGGCAGAGGTTTATTTGACGCTCGGTCTACCACATAATGATTCCCTTTTACATAATCATAACACACACTTTTTGACTTGTTGAGTTTTATGTATTGATGATTTGGTGGTTTGTTTATTCGGATTTGACTTTGTGCAGTCAGAATTGGTAGTTTGTGTGGTATATTATGGCTGGATGTACAGTTGAAGTCTTGTATTTTGTATACTGTTGTATATTATATTGTATATTTGTATATTTTTTTCCCTTAATATATGTTTAACGGAAAGAAGAACACATTTCTAAACATAATAGTTTTAACAACTAATTTTAATAACTGATTTTTATCTTTGTCATGATGAAAGGACATCATATTTTACTAGCTATTCTTCGAGATGGTATTCAGCTTAAAGTGACTTTAAAGGCTTAACTAGGTTAATTAGGGAAGCTAGGCAAGTCATTGGATTGTAAGTCTATCAACCCAGGCTTATTGTGGATATGTACCGCTGTCTTTATTTCTGGAGAATGCAAACTATGTAGCCAGAGGTATGTCTGGCTGCATTTTGTCTTTAAAATGAACGCTACGAGGCGTTATAATGCCGACAATGGCTTCTGTTCCTTTGCATTTACCACTTACCTCTGATAGACGACTTGTTCGTTGGTGAATTTGGGATACTGAGCGATTTTGACTGCAACGATGGGATTTGTGTCCAACGAAGAACGATTCCTGAAACCAGGTAAACAAAAGTGAAAAATAATTAAAAAACAACAGGCTAGAAAAAATAGTAAAATCAAGCAGACGCGACAGCTTTTCTTTTTCTAGATTGCTTTTGAGAACACTGTTGGTTGGGTTTGGGAAAGGGGTGGGTGGGTCAGTTGGTTAGTCAGTCGACAGCAAGCTGGCCTAGTTGGCTGAAGTGTATATTATGCCCTCTGGTAGATTTTAAGCGAGAAGTGGACGTGTGATAAAAAGTGAAATCAATACATAAACCTTAAAATGGGCTTCAAAGGGGATCGATTTTAAAAATGGCCCAATTGTCATGTCTGTGTAAACACAAGACAATGAGAGTCTTTTAAACGACGAGGTCATGCGGGTGACTAGTAGGTGTTTAGGGGAGGTGTAGATTGAAGGCAACTGCAAACATACACAACAATGGCGGAGTACGTGGTGGAATTGTTTCTCAAGTGTTTCCTAATGATTCATCAGCAAAGTGTGAATTTACTTCACTTTACAACCAAATATAAAGACACCTTTTACACACATTGCAAAATATAAATAAAACATGGACTGTATAAAAATATGGGAGCTGGCACATCGGGAATGATTTAATAACCAGGTGACAACACCAAAAACTGGCCTGATATTTTTATTGTGCCGCTTTCTGTCATTATCATGGATGTGTAAACATTGTTTTTTTAAAATGCAATGTATACATGGACCATATGATTTTATTTTGACTACAAATTTTTTAAACTATAAACGTTTTGTATCATTATGTCTCTCTGTGTGTGTGTGTGTGTGTGTGTGTGTGTGTGTGTGTGTGTGTGTGTGTGTGTGCGTGCGTGTGTGTGTGTGTGTTCAAAGTGTCAAAAGGTGTCAAAATCTTTGCTGCGCCTCAAAACATGATGTAAAAATAAAAACTAAAAGCATAACATTTTTGTATGATTACTCTATTTGTGCTGTTCAAATAAATAATTAAATACCTACATTTTATATAAACAAGTAAATAAATAAAAATAAATACATTTAAAATAAATAAATAAATAAAAATGCAATTCAAATAAATAAACACATTCAAAATGAAAGAACAAATAAATAAATACATTTCAAAATAAATAAATTAAAGATTATTTAATTAATTTAAAATAAGTTAGTACATTGAAAATAAAAAAATGTAACAAATGAATAATTAAATAAATAAATAAATAATAAAATGTCAAATAAAAAATAATTAAATAAATAAATAAAGATAACATAAATACATTTAAAATAAATAAATAATAATTTAATTAATAATTTAAAAAATTATTAAGTTTAAAATAAATAAATTCAACAAATAAATAATTAGATAATACATTTTAAATAAATAAATAAAATACTAAAATTTTAAATAAATAAATAAATAAATAAATAAATATACAATAAATACCTTTAAAATAAATAAATAAATAAATAAATAAATACATTTAAAATAAATAAATTCAACACAAATAAATGATTAAATAATAAATTTTAAATATACAAATTAATAAATAAAATAAAATTATAAATAAATAAATAAATAAATATACAACAAATACATTTAAAATAAATAAATAAATAAATAAATAAATAAATAAATAAATAAATAAATAAATAAATAAATAAATAAATATTTAATTAATTAATGGGATTTATAAAATAAATAAATACATTTCTCACACTGCAATAATTATTTTGTGGTGATTTTATGTTAGTGCTTAATTAATTATTTAAACATTTTTCAAAAAGTTTACACTTCTTATATCTGCACTTTTGCACAGACCCCCAAGCACCCACTAGCATTTCATGGGAAATATGTCAGTCAAACAGCTGCCATTGAAATGCAATGCTAACAGCTTTATCCAGGCGTTACAGCTGTTCCTGACAAGAATAACAAACAATGTTGACTTTATGCCACAAGCCTGGATACACGATATGCTGACTTGGACTGGTCCCAAAAGACAAGAACTTGGGGAGACTGAATCAAAAGGTCTTCTCTTTTGATCTGTTTTCAGTCATCTGAAAGGTGTTGTCATTTATTTTAAAACGATGAAGGATGTGCCATTGTTTCCTCTAGATGTGCATCTCTCAGACCACACATTGTTTTTTCTGTGTGACTCAGAGTGGAGGATCATGGGACGACACTCTGCCCACCGCTGACATCACAAATTGCTGGTTGCCTGCATTGCAAGTTGTGTGTCTAAAAGATCACAGCCTTTTTTTCCCTAACAACTGCCTTCAACAGATGACAGTAAGGGTGCCCTGCAAAGCTATCCATGCATACACATGAACGTGGTCTCAACCTTTCGCTTTGTAGTTCAAACAGCCTTTTATCAAGGAGCGTGCAGAGCGCGAGTGAACGCAGAGACACAGGCAGGTCTGACCCGTCATCACAACAGCAGATTATAGGCCAGGAGAAGGGGGAAGAAAAGACTGAATGTCACATTGGCAAACGAGCAAAACGTGGTTTAACACATGCACATTTCACTCTATTTATGATGCCATAAATGCTTATTTATTTTAGTTTATCTTATTTATAACAAAAAAGTTTGGAATATATATTAAATAATATACTTACATTTACCAAGGCACTAATATTAGATGAAAGAAAACAGTAAAACAGTAATGTTGTAAATATATATGCTGTAATTATATGAAAATTATTATATTAATTTTAAAAATAGATAAATAACAACAACAAAAACAAAGTGCAATTTATTATTCTTTTTATATTTATTTTATTTTATTTTACAACACATCACACAAGTTTAGAGGTTATAAGTTATGACAACACACAAGTGTGGAATAGTCTTGTTTCTAGGAATGTAACGGTATTGTAAATACCGTCATACCGCAACATTATTATTTTTTCGATATTACCGTAGTCGCATGACTCGGTAAAACTATAGGTCTTCTGAGATAATTTGCTCAGGCGAATGAAGCGAACGGGAGGTACCGGAAACTACAATTCCCATCAGCCCAGGCTTGGCCATAATTCCTTGCGGTCTGTTGTCGCTAAAGATCCAGTAATGTGGAAATGGAGTGTGCTGCTAGAAGCGGGGATGAAAAAGAGCTGGAAAACCCTAAAGCGGGTGTTGTCGCCGCGCGCGTACTGAATAGTGGTGTTGTCGCGCGAGTTCTTATCAGCTGTGTTGTCGCGCGCGTACTGAATAGCGGTGTTGTCGCGCGAGTTCTTATCAGCTGTGTTGTCGCGCGCGTAACTTACTGTAAAGCGGGGACGGAGGGTATGTCGCGTTTCCATCACTTTTGATCATTTTGGAAGGGAACTTTCTATCCAAGACTAAAAAGGGCATGTGCACTGCACAGGTTGAGCACTGTGTGTGCACGTGCCTGCAAGTTGGGGAATAGGACTAATAATCAGTCATGGGGACTGCAGAAACACAGCACACTGTTCAGATTGATGCAGACATGAGATCTCTATCTCACTCATGGTTTGTCCTCTCAAGTGGGGGAAAGACAATGCACAACGTTACCCACTGCTGTCAACCTGGGCCAAGTCATATCTCTCTTGTCCCAGAAACCTCAGTCCCAAATGAGAGGGTTTTTTTTCTGTTGCAGGGGACATTGTAAATACCCAGAGATACCAGCTTTTACCAGATTATATTTATATGATAATTTTCCTTTAAACCCATCTCTATCTAAGTGAGTGAGTGATTAAATGTTGAATGTGATGAGTTTTCAACACTACTAAATTGAAACTTAATTTTTTTACATGGTTTAATATTTTTTTGTTATTAAAATTGAAGTTCCTGTTTCAAAGCTTACAGATAGATGGCTAATTTGTATGTCATTGATATGTTCAGTGCTAAGGTAAATAAACACTTTTGGCACTTTTTTTGGAGTATTTTCATAAGTTTTGTTTTTTCCTGTAAATGATTCAATAAATACCGTACCGTGACATTCATACCGAGGTATTACCGTACAGTGAAATTCTGATACCGTTACATCCCTACTTGTTTCCTTAATTTCTTATGCTTACCGAAAGCAGCTGAAAAAACACAATTGGGCAATATAATTGTAAATGTATATGCGGTAATCATATACAAATCTATATCAAATTATATCTCTCTATCAATATTTATTTATATTAATAAAAATAAACAACAGGGGCGAGACAGTGGCGCAGTAGCAAGAAGGTCGCTGGTTCGAACCTTGGCTTTGTTGGCGTTTCTGTGTGGAGTTTGCATGTTCTCCCTGCCTTTGCGTGGGTTTTCTCCGGGTGCTCCGGTTTCCCCCACAGTCCAAAGACATGTGGTACAGGTGAATTGGGTAGGCTAAATTGTCCATAGTGTATGAGTGTTTGTGTGAATGTGTGTGTGGATGTTTCCCAGAGATGGGTTGCGGCTGGAAGGGCATCCGCTGCGTAAAAACTTGCTGGATAAGTTGGCGGTTGATTCTGTGGCGACCCCGGATTAATATAGGGACTAAGCCGACAAGAAAATGAATGAATGAATGAAAAATAAACAACAACATTAATAACTACAACATAATTATAATGATAACAACAACAATAATAATACTACTACTACTACTACTACTACTAATAATAATAATAATAATAATAACAACAAAAACGATAATAATAATAATAATAATAATAATAATAATAATAATAAAAACAAAAAATGACGACGGCAATAATAATGATGACAATGTTGACAACAATAATAACAAAAACAATGATGAAGACGATGACAATAATAATAATAACAATAACAACAACAACAACAATAATAATGAAGACGACAATGACAATAATAATAATAATAATAACCATAATAACAACAACCACGACGACAACAACAATAATATTAATGACGACAACAACAACAACAACAACCATGACAATAATACCACTAATAATAATAATAACAATAATAACCACAGCAATATTAATAATAAATAATAATAATAATAATAATAATAATAATAATAATAATAATAATAGTACTAGTAGTTTTAGT